TGTGGGGGGGGGGGTCGGCGTGTGTGTGTGTGTGGGGAGGAAGGCGTCTTTGAATATCACGGCTATTGGATATGTGAGACAAGATTTCGCGGCAAATGAAATTAAAATCCAGTTCCAGGAGTGATTCAAAAGTGTTTTGTTTTTTTGTGTGTGTGCGTGTTATTTTTTTAATTGCTAAAGACATAAAAAAACAGTAAGTCAGGATATGGCAGAGGCGTACCCCGGTTAGACCATGAGGTGGGTGGGGGGTTTAACCCGGTTAGACCAAGAGGTGGTGGTGTAGCCCGGTTAAACTACGAGGATGGGGTTAACCTGGTTAGACCACAAGGTGATGGTGTAATTAGTTCAGACCACACCGTGCCTCGAACTTTGGGAGATGAGTTTACGCTGACATTATTTTTCTAGTGGATGTCTAATCCACCCGTCAGCTTTACCGTCAGACCGTTGGCCTCAAAGTCACTGACCTGTCCTGTCTGGGTTGTCAGCAGTGGGGCAATCGCGTGGGCCCCGTCATGCCTTCGATTGTTTGGGGTTGGGAGTGTCGGTTAATTTTAAGGGTCCCCCCACATTGTCATAGCTACTGTTATTGCCACCAGGAGCAGGCCAAGCTTTTTGCCATCTCCCTTCCACGACCCCCCCCCCTTTTTTTCCCTTCTGCAGCTGACTGAAAATGCCACCTTATAAATTCATAGCCAAATGTGCCACCGGGTCCCCATAGCACTTACTACGCCACAAGTCCCAAAGTTTTATTGAGGGGGAAAAGACACACACACACATACTTTATCATCTTTAAATGCGTTGGCTTGAAAGTGCGTGTAGAAAGATCCCTCAAAAGTTCACATGACGGTTCTGTATTAGGTGTGAAGTTACAACGGGTCATACACATATTATATAACACAAAAGTGTAAATGTTTTAAACAAGCCCCCCATCCATATAACTTTATAAAACGTTTCCATTGACCACGCCTAATATTGTATAATATTTCGATCTACCACAAACCCTCTGTCAAATTCAATCAAACAGAACGAAGTCCAAAAACAAGCAAAAAGAAGCAATTTTTTTAAAAAGCAAGAAATATATATATTTTTTTAAATGTACTAATTTTTGTTAAGGAAAAAATAAATGTTCATTGATTTCAATAATCTAATTTCGTAAATTTGATTTTACTGTAAAGATTTTTTAAAAATATATATTTTTTTCCTTTTTTTAAAGCTCCGTGAATATTTGTCTACAATGGTCGATTTCATCTCCTAAACCAGGGGTCCTCAACCACCGGTCCACGGCCCGGTACCGTCCCGGGGTCTTAAAGAACTGGGCTGCCCGATGACATGGAATACGTGCATTTTCTTTCTTTTTTTCCCACCTGAATCCAACCCAAAACACCCCTCTCTGGATCTATGGAAAAAACAACAACAACTGTACCGGTCACTGGTGCCAAAATATTGGGGACCGCTGTCTAAACTATACAGTGAGTAAACAGGACTTATATAATAAAGCCGTTTGTCCAATTCAATACTTTTATATTTTAAGGCAGTTACTAATGTTACTATAACGGCTCATCATGCCATTGGTTATCAGGCGCTGAGGGCCTCTGAGTCTGAGGGTCATTTCGAATTCATTCTCTCCAGTCCATTTCTGGCCAGGTCTCCACTCGTTTTCACATTTTGAATTTGAGTAGCGTGGAGGCGAGGGTCGGTGAGATGGAAGCAGGGTGGGGGGGGGGGTTGTTGGGGAGATGGA